GTGGGAAAAGAGGGTTAGGAAATGAGCAGGGTGGGGAACATAGAAAAACCTGGGGATTTGTTCCTGAGTTGCAGCTTTTTTTCCTCACTAATCCTGCTCCTGTGGTGCAAGAGTAGCTGGATCAACATGTATATCTTCATCATTCATCTGCAGCTTTCGCTACTATATTTGTATATATCACCTTTGTCTAAGGTCCAGTTTTAAGATGATGGTAGCAGCAACAGCAACAACCTGGTAGCCCTACTGAATGATACATCATCCTGACTATGGATGGGTCATACAATATTATGCTATCCAGACTCCGTCAGCCTGGATCATCAGCTCACATACAACAACTGTCACTATCTGACAACAATTTTATCAATCAAAAAGGTAGGGAGGTAGGGAGAGAGAGAGAGAGAGAGAGAGAGAGAGATTCAAAGGAAGTCAGTATGGACTTCCCAGAGAGAATGAAATCTGGTCCATTTTGACTGGTAGTATCTTCAGGTTCTCAGGTTCCCATCATCTGGCCAGCTGATTTTTTTTTTTCAACTGGAGATGTCAAGAACTGAACATAGGGTCTTTTGAGTGCAATCCTTGAGCTGGGCTATTAAACCATGGTCCTGTAAAGGTGCAGACCCCCTGCCTGCCTTCTAATTTATTTTCATGGAAATTGTTTTGATCCCCCACTCCTCAATTTTGCTTTATATCTTATTAAGAGCTAGTTTTGAGACCTAGAGAGAAAAACAGGGCACAGACATTAAAGTGAATATTTAAAATCAGAGAAGAGGACTATTCCTAGGGTGGCCAGGAGAGAAGAGACAGAAAGGGAGGGGATAAAGGAACAAAGATTGAGCACTGAAGGGATGGCGCAATCCAGGGTCTATGGAACAGAGGCAAAGGTTGAGCTCTCAACTTGTGTAGCATCCTGTACTGGCCTCCCTAATCTTGCTTTACCTTGATTTATGGTTGGAGGGAATGTGCAAAACTGCCTTCTTTTGGGGCGGGTGGGGGAGAGAGAGACTAAATATATGGATTGGGCTGGATAGAAGGAAGAACTGGCAGTGAATGGGAGAGGAGAAAATGACATTGGAATGTGGCAAGATCACCAAAGACAGACAAGTGGGTTCCCCCTCCAAGATAAACATATTCTATTATCCTTCCATGGAGGGTTAGCAGGAGGACAAGCCCACCCATCTCCCATTCTCCTAAGCCAGTGGGCTGGTCCATGTTCACAGAGATAGACACAAACCAACCCTTGTTTCAAGAGAGATGGGTAGATAGATCACTGCCATAGAGGTACATGGGCAAGTTTCTGGTGGACCATTCAGTGGTGTGTTGCTGAGATTCCTACCAAAAATTCTAGACAAATCCAACCTTGGTCTAATCCAACAAGGAACTTTTTATTCCAGAACCAATGCTCAGAGATCTTAAAAGTTGGTGGTTCAATCCTGTGGATGCTTTGTAAATGTTAAACCCAATGGGCTATATCCAAGGATGACTTTGCCTTTTATTTGTAAAAGGAGGAGCATCCCATGTTGCCAATTAAACACACACAAAAACCTTGCCCTCCCCCTGCAAATGTCCTCTCCCAAAAGATTGCTCCTGAAATTTGCAGAATCCTTTGAGACAATATGAGTGCCCTTTTTGTACAAATGTAAATCGCTTCTTCTAGTCCAAAGTTACTCCTCTAAAGGTTTTATTTTTAAGAAAGTAGACAAGGCAACCCTAAACTCAACTCCTCTCCAGCTCACTACTCCATTTGTCTGAGATGCTTTGTATGGAGATGCTATAGGCCTTTCCACTCCTTAAAAGTCTAGATAATATTACTCTTGGAGGGTTCATTCACACATGCACATTCATCACACCAGCAGCATCAAGCAATGACTTGCATCTGTGAATGAGCCATGAGAGATTAAATGCCACAGGCAGATATTTCATAGCAACTTCTCAGTTCATTTCACACTGTGTTTTTTCAATTAAGAAAGTTCACATATTCATAGGTGACTTCACAAGCGTAAAGTGATAAATGTCCTGCCGGAGAAATGGAAGACATTGAAAAGGGGTCAAGAATTGGATCCAGCAGGGTTCTTCCACTAATAGAATGGACACTCTGAGCAGATCAAATTCTTCCTCCTACCTATCTTTGAACAACCACCTAATTTGGGAAATAGCAGATCTGAATCAGTGGGCAGAATTATTTGTTTATTATTTATTTATTTATAATGCTATAGGGACTATGAAGGGAAGACCCCTTTGAAAGGTGGCATTCACTCCTATTACTGCACATTGGATTTAGCCGTTGTTGTATCCCCTAACCTCCGAGTATTCATTTGACCTGTACAGGAAGAACCTATTCAGTTGTTTCATGAGAGCATCAGGGTGTGTCTGTGTTTGCACAGCTTGTATGAGGGTGTAGGCTCTGTACAGGAGGCGAGATGTTTCTTCCACACCTGACTTCCACATTTAGCATTCATTCCAATTCCCCATTCATTCTCCTTGACAGCTTATCTGAACAGGACTCAGTTATGAAAAGTCACAGGATCAATATCAAATGACTAAAGCTGCTTTATAGTAGGACAGACCATCTTACCTCAGTGTGGACAAATGTTTGTTTTGTTTTGTTTTAAATTGAGGGCTACTTTCCACTAAGAAAATCTGAAATAGGCTACATAATCAATAGGGCTGAAGAAAAGAGTGACTAAGGCTGGAACCCATTCTCTCTCTAATACTCCCCTTTTTCTTCTCTCTCTCTCTCTGTTTGTTGAAAAAAACAGGCTCAGCTCTCAAACACAGCCAGAGTGGAATCCTGGAGATCCAAAACTGCTTTCAAAATGTCTTCAACAGTCTTTGTGTGTGAATACTTCGACTGTACAGAACATGGCCTTTTATTTAAAGCAGTGTTTCTCAGCTTTGGCCACTTTAAGATGTGTGGACTTCAACTCCCAGAATTCCTCAGCCAGCCTTCTGGGAGTTGAAGTCCACACATCTTAAAGTGGCCAAGGTTGAGAAATGCTGCTCTAAAGGACAAACATGTCTATGGATGAGCCTCATAAATAAAAGATTGACTCTCCAATAACCTTGTTTTAAGCCACATATTTCTCTTTTCTGGTGACGTCTATCTTTTCTATGATTCTCAATTTAGATTCTTTTCCCACATTATCATTACAACTAGGAACAGATTACAATGCTCTTTGTGTTGATTCATTACCAGATCGATTCATTGGAATGCAAGGCAGTGTTAGCAATACAATTCCATCCTCATGTACATAGCTAGAAAGTATGAGTACGCTTTTATAAATTATCCACAAACTTTTGTTGCTGTTCTTTAAAAAGCATGAATGATGCTTAAGACTATAACGCAAGCTTGGCTTGCCAAATGACCTATTTGGCAGGACCTTTCTTGGGCCTGATGTGCAGAAATCAGCAAGCTCCTTTGTACAGCTTGGAGATTCATCCCCACTGGCAATGTCTGCACCTCAAACCATAATTAATAGTTCAGGCTATGAAAGAATGTCCTGTGTGGTTACGCTCCTCACACACTCACACAAGAAGTATACACACTTCGCTTTTTCCCTGATTGCATTCAGTGGGGTTCACAATGGGCAACACTTCTTCTCTTCCTTACGGCCGAACCTGCTGAATATCTACCTCTGGAGCAATTTTTAAATTCAATTGTTATAAATAATATTACAAAAATGTCCTAGACGACACCACAGTGAACGCTCCAGCCTAGGCCTACGACATACTGTACAGAGAAGGAGAGGGAGAAAGGGAGGGGGAGGGAGGGAGCCGACAGACAGCTCTAAACTATGCCAATTATCCCCATTAATGAGCACATTATATGCAAAGTCCCATTCTTTGCTTATTTATTAGCCATTTTGGAGTCTGCCATAGTAAAAAGCCAAGGGTTCCCAGATAAAGCACTTTGATGCCCTCTAGTGTCCGGATAGCATGGCTGCAGGGCCTCTGCTTAACATTTAAGCATGAGTCTCCTGGTCAGCTCTTTCTCAAATAATCTTTATGCTCAAACCAAGCATGTTGACAGATCCAAGACCTTTTAATCAGTGAACAGCCTGGCTTTTACCTGCATAACGGATTACACTGCATCATCTCGAGAAAGCTGCTTTTCTGAGAATCCTGTGAGGATATGAATGAATAAAAAAAACTCCAAGTTGTTTAGAGAAAGAAGAACCCTACTGTACTCTGGTTATTCCCCCCCCCCCCCC